CGGCAGCAAGCGACTAAGGGACAGAGGAAGAAGAAAGAGAGCTTTTGGCCCCAGAAGGTGCCACTGGGCTTCTGCCGGGAACAGGAAGAGTGCCTCTGAGCACGTCAAGAGAGAATCTCCTTTCGCAAAGCCATGGTCACTCCACACTTTCACCCAGCTCAGCTTAAGGAGCCATGGTTCCCACCTGCCGGCAGCTTTGCTGGTTTCAGGTCCGCGTGTTCACCTGGGCAGAGGGAATGCGCGTTGCTTCTGCGGATCGCACCGGCCCTTTGCACGCTGTGGCCTCTCCCAATAGTATACGGTTGTGATGGTAACACAGTCTCTCGTCCCACACCTTTCAAACCAGCATTTCTTGCAAGGAAAAGCTTCCAGGTTTACTCGTGAAATTAGGATTTGCATGAGACGAGATCATACCTGGTTCCCCTTTGACTCAGGTGGGTGCTTTGTTTCCTTTTCACTCGGCAGTTCCCGCAATCCATTTGTGACACCTTATCTGATTTATCGTGCCTGTCCCTCAAAGAGGAATCGGAGTCATTGTCTGGCATAAGACGGAGCCCCTGCAGGCCAGGCCTTTGCCTCTCTGACTCCTTCCAAAGGAAAAAATTGCCTGCCTTCAGCATCAGGGAACGTTGTTAGCAAAAATCGACTTGTTGCTAATCTTGTTAAGCCGCAGCTAATTGATAGATCTTTAGGAGCACTGGCTGAGATCTGAGAGCAGGATCTCCGAGCACAGTTTGTCTGCTGCCTCTCCAGTGGATATTCCCTTTGTCTGGATGGGTGGAGTGATATCGAGAGGAGATCACTCCCCCTTTCTGTGCTGGGAAGGTGGGACGATCCACCCACCCTGCCGCCCCCTTAGCAGTCTAGTTCAGTGCAGAATGTGAGAAGCAAAAGAGCTGGTCTCTTTTTTTAAATGGGGGGGGCAACAGAACAGATAAAGGCAGATGGCTCAAATCAGTAAGCCAAGCTGCATTTGTGAAACTAATCGAAGAAGAGAGCAAAATTAAATGAATTCATTAAGTAGCCTTGCTTTAAACATTGACTAGAAAAGTGCCCCTTATTAGTTAGGTGGCTTCTATAAAATCTGGTTTTTAATGCAAAGACTTATAAGGGGGGGAGGCACAGATGACCTATGCTGTCTCAAATGAGGCACCCCCTTGTTCTCTCACATCATGTGGAACTCCTCTGTATTGGGGGGGGCATCCGCTGTGGCCCATGCCATGCCTGCTCTGGAAACAACTGCGTTTCCTTTAGAAAGATGGGTTTTATGCAAACACATGCCATTTGAAACTTCTCTAGTGTTAACTGATTAATTAAGAAGAATGCATGATTAATTGACTGAGGTGTCTTTAATTGGCTGACACGGCTGCTAAGCGGTTTGACTTTGGGAAGAAGTGAGGGGGAAGGAATGCACCAGACTGCAATCTCAGCAGAACTCCTCCAGCACATGCCGCCCCGAATGGAAATGGTTGGCTTCGGAAGCAGACGGTTCTAGTAGCACGGCATCGGAGGCTTGGCCTGTGAATTCGCAGACAGTTGAAACAAGGTCAGGAGGGGGGCTGCCTTGCCGCCCATCCTTGAAAACGGGTCCCTCCGAGCTCAAGTGGCTTTCTGGACCTTCTAGGACAGCGCCACGTCTGTAAGGCAGACCTTGGCAGCACCTGGGGCTGGCTTAAGGGCAGGGCAAACGCCACACCTTGGCCACTGCCCGTCTCGAGGCAGACAGGAGAGAAATGCCCTTCCAGTCCGTATTTGGTGTGGACAGGCCACAACCAGCCTCTAACACCCATGTTTTTCTTCCACAGGACAAAATCCATCAAGCGAGAGACCTGGAAACTCAGGGGGTCATGATTTGCTGCCTTTAGGTTTCCAGAAACGAGAGCCATGCTCGTCGGATGGCTTCCCCTGTTCCCCGAAAGCTCGAGGACTCCTCTGAGTGAAACCTGGTGGCCCAGCCATGCCCCCGTTGAGCCCCCTTTCAGAGCCTGACGACCTTCCTTCATTATCCCATCTCAAGACATCCTGACAATTGCACAACTCAAGTCCAGTCTGTGTGTTCCCCCCCCCGCCGCCTCCAACCCTCGTGGCCTCACCCAAATCGCCCGTTGGAACCCTTTCCCTGATTTAAGAGGCTCGGAGCTTGTGTTGATTTTCGTACTTTCAGAGACGGCCTAATGACGGTACGATCGCCATATGGGTTTTGGAAGCCTCGTCGGTCGACCTGTGCATTTATTCATCCCTTGAGTCATGGAGACCCTAACCCTCCCACAGGCACCACAAGACCCAGCTTCCCCGATAAAAACAAGGTTATTCAAGCAGCGCCCCTTCTGCCTGCTGGAAAAGTCTGAAGAGCAGTTCTGGAAAAGGCTCGGATGGCGCTCGTTCCCTTAGGAGGTGCCTAAGCGTTAGGGCAGACAGACACACACACACAAAGTTTCTCAAATACGTCTCCTCACACTCTTCCACATGTAGAAAACACAGAGGGATCAGGGAGGAAGCACAGCAGCCAATACCGCCCCCCCCTCCCTCGCGCCTTAGTGGCTCAACACCCACCGCCAGTAAAGTTATTCTGGCGCAGGAAAAGGCAGGAAGTATCACAGGGACCCTCAGGCAGCCCCCCCCCTGAAAAAAAGCCGTAACAGCTAGCAAAACGTCTTCCTCTTTCATGACACCAAAAATCCTTTGCTGAAGGTGCACCCGCACACCCTCTACCTAGTGGTAGGACCAGCCCAGACTAAGATGAAGGCGAATCTGGGGCCCCATTAAGTTGCTCCCCAAGGAGGATGGAAAGAAGATTCCCTCCCTCCCTCCCGCCTCAGGATCTGGCCCATATTTATGGTGGCTCCGCTGGAGATGGCCATAGGGCCCCGGGCAAGCCCGGCCTGGTTGCGGGCGGCCCCCCTCTGCCCTCCTCCCGGCTCTCCCCCCTTCTGGGCTCGGAGCCGCCAGCCGCTGGCCTACCTCCATCCACTGGCCTTGGGACTGCATCAGGAGGACCACGCAGGGGTCGGACTTGTTGAGGGTGTCCCGGTCGAGCAGGTGCTTGCAGCTGACCCGCAGCTCCACCTTAGAGACGCAGGTGGCCGAGACGACACCCAGGTTCGCCTGGGAGGCCGGGTCCAATAATTCGTTCATCGTGCTGTCGGCTGGGCAGGGGAGGGGGGACAACCCCAAGTGCTGCGACCGCGGAGGAAAGGCAGGGAAGCGTCACTCAAAGTCTTGGGCACCGCCAAGCATCCGGAACCAGACCTGAGCTGGGCCAACTGGTCCCTCCGTGGGCAAGTGGCCGATCAGGGCCGAGGGTGGCCACCGAGTCCTCCGCTGCAGTCCGGCAAGGACCCTCTGAGTCTCTCCCACAGCCGTCCAGTCCTCGTCCCCCTCCGTTGGAAAGGCGGCCCCTTCTCTTTTGCCGGCTCCTCTGGACAGCTGTCGAGCGAAGCTAATTCAGAGGGTTTTCTCTTTGCAAATGAAGATGCATCTCTTTACGGCCGGCCGTTCTCCACCTCTTCCTCCTCCTCCTCCTCCTCTTCCTCCCCCCTTTGGAGGCTGGATCCCACCCACCCTCACTCCTCTCTGGCACAGACCAAGCTTGGGTGCATTTGTGTCCTCATGCTCTGGGTGGAGGAATCATAAGCGGGGGGGGGGGTAGCCCTCTCTTCTGGCTTTTCCCGGGCTTCAGAGGGACATCTGCAAGGAGCAGCAGGGAAAGAGGGTTTTTTCCCCCCTTGTCCAAGTCACACAACACAGCAACAACACAGCCCTCTCTTCAATTCCTGGATGCTGGGAGGGCCAGAGAGAAGGCGTAGATTTCAGGTGAGCAAAAGAAGCTTCGATGGGACCCCAGAGTCCCCGGTGGCAGGCTGTCTCTAGCGCCTCTCTGGAAGCCACCTCAAGGGCGAGAGGGTGGTTACCATGCCGTCAGGAAGGAGCACGGTCCCTGGAGAAGCTGCCTGCAGGAGAGGAAAAGGAACACATGCCCAATGAGTTGACAGCCTGCCTCCCCAAACACCAGGGATTAGCAGACAGATCAGAACATGCTAAGAGCCCTGTTACGTAGGGAAGTGTCTCATGCTGTACCAGATCCTAAGATTGGGGCTGTGCAGAGTGGCGGCTTTCTCCTGAATCAGACCTCTGGTGTCGATTGACTCCGGTATTGTCGGCTCTGACTGGCAGCAACGAGTGTCCAGGATTACAGGCAGGATCCTTTCCTCGCCCTGTCTGGAGATCCCTATCCTTGCCCTATCATCCGGAGATCCCTGTGATTTTCAGTTCCTCTCCCACAGATGTTCTAACTAGGACTGGCCCTGCTGAGCTCCTGAAAGGGGCCAGGACCGGTTGTGCCCTGGGTGGGATGGGTGCGTTGGAGGATCCCTCCGTGTCCATCCGCATCCTGCGTTCCTCAACAACCGCCCAGACTCCTCCAGGGAGGAGGCCTCTTTACACGTACTCAGATCGCCTGCCTCCCCATCCCCACCCTCCAGCCGTTGGCATTCAGAGGCAGGTTGTTTCCAAGGCTCCGTGTGGGTGCCGTGACCCACAGCCGAGCTTATGCCAGAGAGAGTGGTGGCAAGTCCTGACCCATTCCCACCAAGGAACAGGCGCCGGCTGCCCTCTTCCGCTCCTGTGAGCCTTTCCAAATCTGGGGTCCACCTGGCACAGGTGAGCTTCGCTCTCCCTGCTTGGATCAGCCAAGTCAGAACAGGCACACCTTGACCATCAGGCTGGCTCTTCCCACCGTCACCACCGCTGCCACCGCGTCACCTGCGGTTGGTGGAGACCAGCCCGTACTGGCACCCAGCCAGCCAGCTCACGCTCTGCACCACGGTGGTTGCCTGGAAAACCAGAAGAGGCCAAACCCAGTCTGTAGAGAAAGGAGCCCTGTTTCCCCCACAAGGCATGATAACACTCAGAGATGCCCCCCCCCAGGTCAGCCAGCATGGCTACCGACTGGACTGGTCGGAGGGCTTCTTGCAGTGAAACATGCCTTCTTTTTTAGAATCTAGGAACTCATCTGGACTGCTCAATATTTGGCTGCAGAGCCAGAGATTGAGAGTCTGATTCCACCCACCCCCCCCCACGGCCTTCTTGACAGGGGCTGGACTCAACAATCCACAGGGTCCCTTCCAGCTCTGCAGGTCTCAGAGGTTGAGAAGGCCACTTGATCCCACCAGCACGTGCACACACACACACACACACACACACACACACACACACAGAGGGAATTGCCGCCTCCAGCAGGGGCTCCAGGGTGGGGGGTCGGGCTCCTTTCTCCCCTCATTTTTTTTTAAAGGAGCTTGCTCTAGTTAAGGTGAAGACGGCCTGGCAGGCCTTCCCTTCCACCAACCCCATGGGCCCCCTTTCCCTAGTGGTTTTCCTGCCTGCTTTTTCCACTTGTTGCTGTGTGAGAAAAATATGCAATTATATAATGAGGTGCAGGGCACACGAAAGAAATGGTGGTGGGGCAAATCTTGGCTGAGATGGAGTGAGGAAGGAAGGAAGGAAGGAAGGGAA